GTTGGAGCAGTGATCCACTCCTGGCTCCCAAGTGGTGCATCTGTCTATGGCAGACCAATAGAAATGGTTCAAAATGACTTGGAAAATAAATTTTTCTTTCTCCTATAAAGCTACCCTCTCGGGCTCCCGAATGGCACCACCATTTCAGTCTTGTCCCTGTTGTCAGTACATCGCGAGTTTGGTCTGGGTGATGCCACACCCATCTGTAGCTGGGAATCAAACTTTGCTCTCTAGGTGGGTTGGATGGTCCCCCCTCTCCCCTTCACTAAGTGCAACATGGGCGTGTCTTAGCTGACGTAACAGAAGCAGCCGTTCATGTTCTTCTTTAATATTTGATATTTTATGTAGATTAATTAAGCAATAATCAGTTATTCAGCTTAAATGGTGCCAGTAAATGTGATGAGTGAATGTGACGTGATGTAAGTATTTAGTATACTAAATACTTCTAATTAACAGAAACTGAGGCTTATTATATTTCAGCAGTTAATGTTAGTGATGTTTGTAAGGGTAACGTGAACTCATTCTGACAAATCACTTTTAGTGCAAGCTTCGCATTCTCAGATAGTAGTTTGGTTTGTCCTTGTATTTCTAAGTTGGATTTTCACACTTTCTTCATAAATCCTTCATTTTATCCTAAATTTGGGTATTTTGACAAAATTTAGTTGTATGCTACAGTCTCTTGTGACTTGGAATAGGATTTCTGCTAGTGTTCTGTAAAGCTCATCCAACTGTTGCTACACAAGGGTAATTTCCAGTGGCTGTAGATCAGAGGTGGGAAACCCTGGCCCTGGAGGGATGAATTCCTGCAGAATTTCATGATTTTCCTGCTCAGACATACCAATTAAACCTGGCAATTAGCTGCTGAGTTGAGTCACGTGTGTTTGAGCAAGGCATTCGCCAAGCTCTGCAGGGCTCCAGCCCTCAGTTCCCCACCTCTAATAGAAATAATTTAACTGCAACAAGCATATTAATGACATGAGGTTTAACATTGTTAGTTGCTCTCTCTGGTAGCTGTTTAGCGATAAGAAGCTCCTTCACACGTTCTGAGCTTTGGAGCTCTATAGAATAAATATTCTGCTTGAAACATCCTGAAATATGATTACCTGGTTCTCCTGCAGCTTCAGAAGCTCTTTGCTTGCATTATCTTTGCTTCCATCCAAACCAGCTTGTTTCTTAAGAAACTTGCATAAAAGTTTTCCAACTTGTATACACACTAACTGATGCACTTGCCTTGAATCTACATTCATTGTATAATTTATCAGGTCCACTGAACAGGTGTTACTATGGGGGTGGATCATTCACAGTGGCATGTTAGGGTGTGTTCTGACTTGGTGGGTTTGGTTCTATTGGACCCTGGTACAGTGCTCTGTTCTTAGTACAGTTCTTTATAACAAGTGAGAACATGTGTGTGAACCCTGGTGTGCACCAAATATGCAATGTAAAGACTTCTAACTAAACGCTACAAACTCTGGTGCAATTTGTTTGGAATATGTTGTGCACACAACGCTCACCAATCTGCAAAGGTGATCCTGTCTGGTCTGATGTGACAGAGGGGTTACTGTCACAGAAATTTTTAATGAGGGTTCCAAGAGGAATGAGTCACAACACAAAGTGCACACTGCATATGGAGTTGTGTAGCCACAAACCAGTCAGAATGTCTGTGCTAACCAATGTCCACTGTCAAAAGAATCTACAATGGGCATGCAAGCGTCAGAGCTAGACCTTGGAGCAATGGAAGAAGGCCTAGTATGATGAAACTTTAGGCCCGAAGGTGGGCCCTGACAAATGAAGGGGCTAAACTTTGTTGTGGACCAGGTATATCCCTTCATTGCAATTTCCTGCAGTGGCCTTATTCAGCACAATAATGCACCCTGCCACACTGCGCACATTGTTCGGGAATGGTTTAAGGAATGTGACAAGGTCTTCAAGGTGTTGCCCTGGCCTGTGATCTGCTACAGCTTCACCTCGCAACTTACAAGAATTAAAGGTTCGGCTCCTAATGTCTTGGTCTCAGATACCACAGGGCACCTTCAAGGGTCTTGTAGTCCATGAGTCCATGCCTGGGGAGGTTGGAGCTGTTTTGTCGACACAACAGTATATTAGGCAGGTGGTTATGATATTTTAGCTCATCGCTGTGTGTATATAAATACATATATAGTTTGTGTGTGTGTTGGAGTTAGCTACACAAGTACTACTTTATTTCCTTTAAATAAAAAAGCAGCATGATACTCATCGCAGTAGGAACACTTCAGTAACCTGGAGGGCCTAAAAGTGTTTAACATTAATTTACATATTAAGGTTGGGATTTTAATATTCCTACAGTAATATAGACTCTGCTATTTAAAAGGCAGTCTTGATATCACATATTTTCATAAATGCGCATTTATTAGTTTCAGGTATATTACACACAGGTTTTGCTGTCTTTAGGTCCGAAATAGATGTAAAAGCTATCTATCTATCTTTAGAGTTTGCAAGTGTATGTGTGTACGTGATGGCACCTGCTTTCTTTTTCACACTGTTGCATGTTCCCTATGGAACTATCTTCTTCACTCTGACAGATTTATATTTCACCATAGAGATAGACATTGCTGTCAAGGTGTATGTGTGGTGAGGCTGGAGAAGAGAGCGAGAGAGAGAGATTAATGCCCAGGCAAGCGGTCGCAGTGGGAGAAGCAGGGAAATGCTTTATGGGGAAGCCAGGCATTATGGGAAATTTGTCCTCATTGTTGAAGTTCAGGTGTCAGATTGGTGACAGCGTCTCCTCACTCAGGTGCCTGTGTGTGTTTCAGTCTGTGAGTGTGTCTTTGATTATTATGGTTCTAAATCTCTGACCTCATGGTGATTCAGTTTGATTGTTTGATTCAGTGATTCAGTTTGATTCTTTGATTCTTTAGGAAATCATTCAGTATTTTTTTTTCTCAATATATTTATCATTTTGTTTAAACGAGCATTGATACATATCAAACAAGTGTGTATTTTTTTTAGTTCATTTTTATTTAGTAGAATTATGCTTGTATTTTAACGTCCAGCTGAAATTGGCCAATCATAAATTGTTTTTCTCTGTGCTATCTAGGTAGATACAGCTAAGCAAGCTCTCCTATTGGTTAGAATCTCAAGAGCTACAGAGAAGGGTTAATGCATTAAATTAACCATCATCAACCAGTCACAGGCAGGACCAATCTCATGAAAAAAAAAAAAGTCACTCTAAGCCATCGGGAAGTCCTAGATATGTCACTGACTGTGAATATGAAATGCAGCCTAATCTGTAGGTTGTTAGAAATGGAAAACAGTGATAGCTCTATACCAGAGCTCAATACTGAGTCACTGTGAACCTGCTAGAAGGTAAAAAACATGCTAATATGTCTGTCAAGCTTCAAGTAAACCTTAGAATGTTTTTTAACGGTAGCAGCTCACCACTTAGTGCTAACAAACTACGTTAGCAGAAATTGACGTTATAGTTTCATTATTGTTTTTGCTCATGTTTTGACTGAATTTTGACATTTATGGCTCAAATTGAAGGCGTAGTTCTAATATTCACGATTTGCCACTGTCCCTACCCAGCCATTATCTGTGGAAAGACAAAGTTTAGTTTTATTTAGTTTATTTGACAGTAAAAGCAAGAATTAAATTTCTGCTTGTTTATCAAGGATTACTCCATAAAGCCTGAGACTTGTTTCCATCATGGCCCTTAAAATATATAAACAGCACAGACATTGCAGATTATGTTACCAACAAGCAACATTCTTTACATTTTGCACAAGTATTGAAGAATATAAAAATCAATCACATTATTTATGTATTATTAATAAATGATTTGTTTGACAACCACATCTTTATTTTTACACTAAAACTAACAGGTTTAATCGTAACCCTGGCCTTGACAGACAGACTCTTCCATTCATGCATTCCTGAATATCAAAAAGACCTCGTACTAAACATCTTATTAAATCTAACTAAAGAAACATCAGCAGTACTGTGTCTTGTATTATAAATGCGTCTTGCAATAGATAAGTAAAAAAGAAGACACAAGAAAAACTTACGCATTCCAGTTGCTCTGAGGCCCATGTTGTTTTACACATTCCATATTTTCATGATCCAAAAAAAAAACCTAAAAGACAATTATCTCTATTATATCTCTATTTTTTGCGATTTTTATTTTTCTACATCCTTTGAATTCAGCATTACATTGCATAAGCATTTCATGATGAATGGACCAACAGAAATGTTCCAAAATTGCTCTTTACATTAACTTACATTCAAAATGACTATTTTGGCAATGCTTTCTTTTCTACAAAGAGCAACAATATTTAGATGGAGCTGAGTTCTTTAAGTTCTACAAGTAGCAAGTTCTTGAAACTGACTTTTACCTGGGGATGTAAGCCTAAAATGAATAAATAAAAAAAATCATGAAAAATACTAATAACAACAACAACAAAAAAAATAGTTCTAAAAGCATGAAATCTCAATTTTCACTTTGGTTTAATTTTGGTATTTTGGCTAATGTTAATTCAGCCTTACCTCAAGTGCAGACTTATCTTCATATTACTGACCCCTGGTAAGGTGATGTATCAAAATATTGTACTCATTCTTTTAATGCTGGTAGCATTTTCTAACAGGGTGATTTAAGCTATTACGATATCCCATCTGAAGTTTTACTGCTCGTAGCATTTTCTGATACAGCGATTTAGGTTGCCAAAATATCCTGCCTACAGTTTTATGTGTGGAGCTACCTGTAAATAAACGTCACAGTAGGACATTTCGACAAGGTCAAACAATTCAACAGAACACTTCTGCCTGAAAAAGTCGTTCCAGCAGCTTAGAGTAAAGCGCGTTTTGTTACTTAGCAACAGGAGGTCACAGTTATGTTACAAATGTGGTGAAAAGAAATGTGAACACTTTTGTGTCCGAACTAAGCATTAATAATAAATTATAATCAATTATAATCTCTCTGTGTCTCTCTCTCTCTCTCTCTCTCTCTCTCTCTCTCTCTCTCTCCTTAGGCCATGGTGGAGACAGTGAATAACCTGCTGGAGTGGCGTTCTCAGGCTGCGTGGAAAGCTCTGGCGGTCAGTGAGCAGCTGCGCTGTGCCACCATGCTGCTGGACACAGTGGAGACTGGAGCATTCATGCTGGCCGACAACCTGCTGAAGACTGACACCATACAGGAGAGCGCCAAAAACATCCGTACGTCTGTGCACACACTTGTTCTTGTGCCAGCATGTGGGGTCATACATATACTCCCTGTATCATATATACTGTATATGATATAAATCATTCTACTGAATTGAAAAGGCAGAGTTGAAAATCAGAACTGAAAACATATTTTGGACTTTCAACTAAAATCTTTTTATATTAAATGATCCTGCACCTTATGTTTATTTTATTAAAATAAATGACTGAACATTTAATTTGGTCACTTCCAAAAAAACTTTAAACTAAAAACTTCACTAAATGTTTCAGTAGTAACAATTTTAGCTCATTTTGAGCAGAAAAAAACACTAGCCAGTACATGACTAACAAACACAGCTTTTAACAGTTGTACTCACATAAAATCAGAACAGTTTTCTTTAAGGCACAAAAAAGTTATTTTATATATTATATTTACGTATTATATTTATAGTATGTGTTTCGATTGTGACAATTCTTAATGTTCCACACTGATTTTCAGACTTTAGGACATATTTACTTCAAAATAATGGGACGTAACTGCGCACCACATGGCCATGAGGTACAGGGATGAAGTCTCACTTCCTGCTCTAAAATTCAGGGACATGGCTAAAATGTCTATGGACTACAACTCTTTGTGTTTCAGAAATTAAATGAAAACATGGGTCAGCATTTTTTAATAGATTTTTTTTACATTTAAAAACGAAACTCATGATAAATCCAATACAAATATACATTTTTAAAAACAACTTTGACAAAAAAATGCAAAAACATAAGTTTTATTTGAAAGTTGAAATATAGGTGTTAGGGTTTGGGACAGACATCTCCCAATAGAAAGTACCGTATAAATGATGATTATGTAGATATTTAGCTCATTGCTATCTCAGTAAATGCATAGGGTTTAAACAGATCATGATATTATCCTGTGGGAGTCCTGACCATTAAAGAACAAGGTAAAAGGGGGCTAACAAATCATGCAGAGAAACAGGTGGATAACAGTCTGTATTTGTAGAACTGCAAAGGTTGAATAATCTGTACATCTAACTCTATGTAATAAGTTTCTAAGCCTACCCGTTGTAGTGCTCAAACCTAGACATCTGGGTAAATCCACTCAGAGTAAAGTGGTTGTGGAGGGGGATGGGCTTATGCTATGCATGCAGCCATTCTTTAATGATTTTTTTTTTTAACATTTTGAAATTTTGAGTCTTGCCATTTTTGGCTGATACTTTGTTAGAGGCCTCGGGCAACAGACATTCAGTGTTCTATTTGAGAACCTTTATTAATCTGACCCAAATCATAATCAAACCTTGACCTCATCACACATCATCACACATCTTTTTTGGAATTGCTTCAAAGCTAAAAATGCATGAATATGTGTATTGTTACACCGCTATTATATATACACCTAAGCACATTAAGTGTTAAGTGTGTGTGTTTGTTTGTAAAGTCACCATATAGTATTAGAATGCAAATAAACGTAACCATAATTTATTAGTTTTTTTTGTCACGTGATATAGACAGTTTTGTTAAATTCCATTGTCAGCACACCTCCTTTAACATAGCGAAGGACTGAACTTTGCACAGTATATACAGTCTCATGCAAAGGTTTGGGCAACTCTGGTCAAATCACACGTTTATTTAATTTGTGAAAATAACATACAGAAAACTGCACATTTTAATTCATTTACTGTTTACTGAGTTTTGGTGCATTTTATAATTTTTTAAACTCAGCAAATTAACAGAAATTGTGCCATAAAAGTATCAGAATTGCATGTATATACAGATGCAAATATATATATATATACATATAACCACACAACTACACATTTGTATACACCACCTACACTCGTATACACATAAAACACACAAACACGTGTTTAAACATATTGAACACAGTCATCTCTAGTATGGCAAGCTATATAAGGCAAGTCAGATTCAATATATGTTGGAATTGTGCACGCATACACATCATAATGCAAAGCACATGTTGGATAAGACACGCTCTACAGGATCTGAGCCTCTGCTGTATGTGTCCCATCTGTAACAGATCAAAACTATCCAAAACATTCACACGTCAGAGCAGCACATACACTTTTATACAGCAAGTTCTCCAGCACTGACATGTAGGCCAACCAACATAAAGGAACTGTAGCCTTCTAAATAGACGCCAACTTTAGCACACAAACACACAAACAGTGCTTGGATATTTTATATTTCACCATTCTCACACGGCAGCCGTAAAAACATTCTGACCCATAAATCCATTAGTGTGTTGACAGCAAAAGAATTGTGCATTTACAGCAGTCAGTAAAGTGGCTGTAGGTTCACGGGTGCAAGGGATAGTTTCTTTCAAGCATCTGCAGCTGAATGGGCCTGGAGGAAAATGCGAGTCCGCAATAGAGTCTGATGCTCAGCTGAGTGTGAAACGGCACATCAGGGCTACAGAAGAATGATGAGGAGAAAAAAAAAGTCACTCACAAACACATTTAAAGGGGAAATCCATAAATTTTGTCAAAATTTAGGCATAATTGCATCTTTAAACTATAAAAATAATCATGTAGAGCGGTTTTATGTTAAGTCATAGACATCTAAAGACTTTAATGCCTCTGACAGCTGCCTCACGAAGTTTTTACAAGAAATGGTTATGAGTACACTGGCTGATGCCTGAGACATGGTGTGTTGATATGTTTTTATGTTTTAAAATTCATTCATGACAGGCAGGTACATGAAAAAAATTAATTCATGACAGGCAGGTACATGATGTAAGAGGAGATGTAAGAAAAAAATAGTATCCAAAAAAGTAACTTTTTCAGATTTTACCACTATCAACACCATCAACATTGCGTTTAAAAACTTGGAAAAGGTGTACATTCACTGTTCATTTTGGATTGCAAATAAGTTGGCTATGTTTGTGCTGTAGACACAGTTTCTATCACCACCAAAGGAATCCAAGTCTGTAAGATTCTTTACAGTGCATCATTCTCCCAAATGTAGTCAGTCAGCCAAGACAAGTTGGATGTCTAAAGTTTCCATCTTTATTTTGTACTGAAGCTACAAGCCTAATGATGGATGCCACAGCACATCTGCCCTGTAGCAATCAATCAGTCTTTAATTAGACTCTGAAGTATATTGAGGTTGACTCTCATTTATAGTGTAGCCGAGCAAGGTAAAGAGATTGAAAAGGTTAAAAATGAAATTTAATCAAACTAGAACTCAATCAAACTAAAAACAAATCAAAATTAATCTAAATAAAAAAAAAATATTCATTAAATTTTACAGCAACACCATAAACACAGTGTTATTTGGGGCATGAACAAGGATTTTAATGCTAAAAGAATTATTTAGCCCTAATAATTTATTTAACAAAAAGTCATTTCAACCCTGTTACCAAAACCTGTTCCCTCTCCCCTGTAAAAAAAAGAACATTCCATTTATTATGATACATATAGGAATTCTTCTTGTTTTCTGCAAAATGACCAACATTTTTTCAGTTTACACAACTATTAATTTGACTGCATGGGTAAAGCTTGATTATTTAATCCTGTTACCAAAATTATTCCTAGAAAAAAAAATTATATTTTTAATGTATAGTTTACTGTATACTGTTATTAGTAGTTCCGCCCAATGACAGCTGGGCTGGGCTCCAGCACCCCACTGCGACCCAGAAGGATAAGCAGTTTAGATGATGGAGAAAAGGGAAAATGGGTTGAAACAAATATTTTAATGAAAATGTTTTTGATTAAAGCATTGATTCATTTTTTTTAACTTTACCTTCTGCTCTATGTTGTAAACTTTGTATGTTTTTACTGCATTAATGTCAGCTTAATGGGAAATATGATGTGTTCAATCCTGTTGCATGAACTCTGTTACTCAGGTTTAATCCCTAAAACCAGTCTTGAATTTAATTTAGTAGGTTATGTGACCAGAAATGTCAAGTTGGTAACAAGAGTCATTAGTTAAAATTACTAATGCACGACAAATTACAAAAATAACTCTTAAACCTTTTATGTTATATGTATACAAAATACAGAAAACAAAAACCTTTTTTTTTTTATTATTTATTTGAAATGTTCTAAAAGCATAATGAATTCCGTTAACTCAGGCTTTGAAACACCATTTATACATCTCCCTAAAAATTGGTAGAAAGGTTGCAAAAAATGCTGTAAATTTCAGGAAAAAAAACAGCTCAAATAGTCAAGTCAAGTCAAATTTATTTGTATAGCGCTTTTTACAACTGATGTTGTCACAAAGCAGCTTCACAGAAATCCATTAAAGACAAAGTTTTAACATGAAATGTAAATCCTCCAAGTGAGCAAGCCAGGGGCGAGGAAAAACTCCCTCAGAGCTGAGGAAGAAACCTTGCGAGGAACCAAGGCTCACATGGGGGGACCCATCCTCCTCTGGTCAAACTACCTACAAAATTATTATACTATATTTAATACTATATATATTATAATATATTATACTAAATAGTGTGTGACTTGACAGCCTGAGGTGAGAAAAGAACGTTTTCTGAAGGTTAAGCAAATATGTAGATTAATGCTTTGCCAAAAAAACACCCAAAAAAACATTTTATATAGTTTTGATGCCTAAAATGAACTCTGTTTACGTGCCTGCTAGATAATGTGCACAAATAGTTTTTTTTCTTTCTTCCAGTTGTACTGAGAGCCTGTGTTTTTCAATAGAAACATGCACCATACTACATACAGGCCTGTGCAGCTGCAGACCAGTCATAGTGCCCATGCTAACCCTTGTCCACCATTGAAAGCTCTGACATTGGGCAGGCATGTGTCAGAACTGGACTTTGGAGCAATAGAAAAAGGTTGCATGATCTGAAGAGTCTGTTTTGTTGTACATCATGTGAAATTGGTTTTTTTTTCTTTTAATTGTACTGAGAGCCCGTGTTTTTCAGTGGAAAAATGTAAACTCTGTGCTATGGTCTAAAGAATCATAGTAAACCATCCAAAAAGACTTAACTGTTAAAAAAAATGTTTGTGAGTGCAGTCAAGTAAATTTGT